AGTCTATTTGCTCCAGGAGCAAATCTCCCATCCCAATGACACCTGTCAGCTGGCCTCAAGGTTTACAGTTCATTTTCATTTACCTCTACCCTTCTCTTTCCTGGTACCTGATAGCATTAAGGTACACATTACACATTTCTCAAAAACCTGGTAGTCCATTACATTTTCTGACTAGAAATTATCTACTGTAGTCCTCACTGAATATCTTTGAAAAACCCATCAAAATAATTTTCTGCCTTAGCAAGTGGAGTTACTTAAATATAATTTAACTTATGGTAACCTTATTATGCAACTTATTTAACCTTTGGAAATATAACTTAAGCATAATTTAATCAACCCTCCTCTAAATAGCTAGTGTGTGTATATGCATACGATAGAGAGTCATGCACTGCGTAACGTTTCAGTCAATGAGGAACTGCATATACCATGGTGGTCCCACAGGATTATAATACTCTATTTGTACCATACCCTTTCCATGTTTAGACATATTTAGATACACAAATACCATCATGTTTCAATCGCCTGTACTATTCAGAACAGTAACCTGCTATACAGGTTTGTAGCCTAGGAGCAATAGGCTATACCATACAACCTACATGTGTAGTAGGCTGTCCCATTTACGTTTGTGTAAGCACACTCTATGATGTTCACACAACAACAAAATTGCCTAATGCTGCATATCCTCATTGTTAAGCAATGCATTACTGTATACAAAAATTAGCAGGGGCTATTTTCTTTTCAACTAAAACATACCAGCCATTCTCTCAGATGAATAGTAATTACCAATGACTTCATACTGAATGTTGACAGCTGGCATGGAGTTTGGATGAGTCACCTCCACTGTCAGCAAAATTGCCATCAATAGGTTCACCACCTGTAAAAGATAACATTCTATCAATTACATTAATACTATCATGAAGCAGTCTCCAGCACAATCTCTCGATATCTTCCCGGATTTAAAATTGTTTTACTTGAAATAACAAAGATATAAAACAGTAAGAGACTACCTGAGATAAAACAGTATGTAATTACCACTAAGAAAATAGTTTTAAAGCAAATATCTCATAAAGTAAAAGTATAAATTTAATATTAACCATTTCAGAGATAAGATGCTTGACCTTGTGTTAAACCAAAACACCAGAATAAAACGGCACAAAAATTAAAACTAAGGAATCATTACAAATTGTTCGTGTTCAGAGTCACATATTTATTCACATACCAATCTCAGCAAGTCTGGGTTTGAAAAAGCTACAGCTCATCTAATATATTTATCCATCAGATGCCTGAAACCCCTCCACAGCACTCCCACCAGGTGATAGAGAACTCACTGTTTCTTCCTGATCTAAATTCAAATGCTTTTTAAAAGACTTACCTTCCCACTTCTAAGTATGTTCTCCTCTAACACCTGATAGCAGCCGTCAAATATTGTCTTTCCTAGAATAAACATTCAGATCCCTAAACCATTCCTCTAACTAGCATGTTTTCCAGCTACCTATTTCCCTCTTGCTCTTCTCTTTACATATGTTACAGTTTGATGGACATATAACACTATTAAAATGAGGGAAGATCAGCCAGGTCAGAACACAACGGGACCTCAGTTCCCACATGCTAGCTAAGAAATTTCAATTCATGCAACCTGAAATTGCACTGGCTTTATAAATTTTTTGAACGTCACATGAGAGTAACTCCCTAAAACGCCTTGTTCTTTTCCACACTTGATCTTGCTAAGGTACCACCTGTACCTCTACAGCTGGTTCCAAAGGCCCAAGCATAAGCCTTAATATATTTGTAATTGAATTTTATCTTATTCCATTCTTGCCTGTCAAGATTTTCTATTTCTCTCAGCTTCCTGCATTTGAAAATATGACCAGCATGTAATGGGTATCTCCATCTAAGTCATTAACAAAAGAAAACAAAGCTTTGTTTTCTCATTTCATAGCCACACCTATCCCAAGAGACTCTTTTGGGACTTTTAAAAAAATTATTCTTCAGTTTTCTCATAGTTTATTTTGCCCAGACCCAGTATCCGCTGAGACCATAATTAAAAGAGTGTTTGGTTCAGGGCATCCTGATAAGGGTTCACACACACAAAAGGCACCCACAGGGCAGCCAATCTACAAAACTAAGCAGAGAATTGGCAACTTATAAAGATCAAAACGGACTATCTTTAAATTTTCCTAAATGTATATGTAAAAGTTTTGGTGTTTACTGTTATGTGCAATTACAACTGAGTATTCCTACTATTTTTTGGACAGACAATTCATTCAATAAATGTCTAATGAACACCCCAAATGCTCCAGTAAGTTAGCCACCACATACATTTTATAAAGTAAGATATCACCCTCCTCCCTCAAGGAGGACATCTTGTTATGGGAAGAAAAATTAGGCAAAAGATGATCATACTAATGTGTAATAAGTACTATTTAATAAATAAGTATATACAAGAGATATGCAGACACTTTTCCAGGTGTGTGCACAGTGAAGAAAACAGATCCCTCTGGCTAGGAAGTAAGGAAAGCTTCACCATGAAAACATTTGAGCAAACCATTAAAAAATTATCTGGAATTGGCAAAATGTTGTAAATAGTTGAACTGGGTGATAAGTAAAAGGGAGATTTTCATACTGTTTCACTCCTTTCATATGTTTGAAAATTTCCTTCATAAAGTTTTTAGAAAGTGACTTGGAGGGTGAACAGTATTTTGGGGAGAAGGAATAAGCATATGCAAAGGCACAGAGGCACAAAACAATGTATTTGAGGATGGAAACTAACTTTGAATATAAACAAGCAATACTTACGGAAGTCAGGGTGGGGGCTGGAAAGAAATCAAGCTTGATGAAACCTGTGTTCAATTCTCTCCCAGCTACCTAACTCTGGACTATTTACGGTTGAGACACTCGTGAAAAACTAGCCATATATTACGTCTAAGACCTAAAATTATTACAAATGCTCAAAATGTATTTTTGCAGTATACCATTAACCATGAAGGAGGATATCCCCTGCAGCAGACTTTTAAGTCCATTTTCAATGGACTTATACTTTCAGTTTGGGCTTATACTTCATCAGAAACATAAAATCATCTGGCTTCAAATTCTTCAATAAATTAGATAGAGAAAACAATTTCAGAAATGCTAGAAATTAAACTTGAGCTCATTCTGGAATTTCTTCCTACTTAACCAGGTATTAAACCAGGCATGCTTCTTTCAAATCTAACGTGTCAAAGGCTAACCTAACACTTCAGGACTGGTACCTTTGGTGCATACAATCACTGGTTCTGGCTTCCACCATGTCCCACGGCACTATTTAATATCATACACTTAATATTTTAGTAAACAGTGTCACAATTACCTTAACACTAGACCAGTACAAGCTACGGATGGAAAGCAATGACACTGTATCAGATACAGTCATTGATAGTGTCTGGGCCCAGGAGGCAGAGCTGCACCTCCAACTTCCAAACAGCACAGGGGCAGTCATAATGTCAGAAGTCTGGCCCGGGTAATCTAAAGAGAACAATAAATATTTTTCCACACAGATGGAGAAGTATTGCCTCACCTGAAATCGAGGAAGAAAGAATCCTGACAAGTAGCTAGGGAGGGAAGTGCCATTCTACCTTATTCACCCCATGTTATTTCTCATGCTAAAGAAGCTTCTGGCAACAAAATGCAGTTTGGACAAGTCCTCTTTGTTAAGAGGTATTATACTACATTTTGGTTTAGGTGGTCTTGTTTTCTTAGTGTTACATGTCTCCTCAACTAGGAAGAAACCGTGTCTTTTTTTTTTTTTTTTTTGAGACAGAGTCTTGCTCTGTTGTCCGGGCTAGAGTGCCATGGCGTCAACCTAGCTCACAGCAACCTCAAACTCCTGGGCTCAAGCGATCCTTCTGCCTCAGCCTCCCAAGTAGCTGGGACTACAGGCATGCGCCGCCATGCCCGGCTAATTTTTCTATATATTTTTTAGTTGTCCGGCCAATTTCTTTCTATTTTTTAGTAGAGATGGGGTCTCGCTCTTGCTCAGGCTGATCTCGAACTCCTGACCTTGAGCGATCCTCCCGCCTCGGCCTCCCAGAGTGCCAGGATTACAGGCGTGAGCCACTGCACCCCACCTAGAAACCGTGTCTTTATAGTGCCATGGAACTGAAGCTACACTTTTGAAAGCCCCCAGTAATGTTGTAATAAACAAAACCAATGGCCTTTTTCCAGTACTTAAACTGAGATTACTGATCACCTTCTTCTCCCTTGTCACTGTAAAATAGGGTTCATTTTTACATCTGTGCCCCAAAGTTCTTTGTAATACAAGAAACACTTGAGTCTGCCAAGTGGCAGGTAATAGGAATACAGAAGACAAATGACACATGGCCCCTGTGATTTACTCCTTTTGTATGTCCACCAAAGTCTTTTACACTGTGGATGGTCAACAAATCTCTAAATTGACTTAAGACAGACTGATTGATTTAAGGTAGTTTACAATGTTCTACACTAACCTGAAAAGTTCATGCAATGCAAGAACAGATATGGCATCTTTTTAAAATTATGAAACTAAAGCAGGGACTTTAGAAAGATATGTGAACCCTGTTCACATGAAGTGCTTCAAGTGGGAAACAGATGTAAACTCCTTACTCCCTATTTTGTAAGAATGTCCTTACTGAAGTTTTTCTGTATGTTTTCAGTTTCCTGTTTATAATTCCCACTTTATCCTGCTATTCTTTTCATTTTTGAGCTGAGCCCACAGTATCAAAAAATCTGCCTGGGAGAGACTGGAAAGGAATGCAGCCAATTACATTTGGATGGCTGAAATAGGAATGGTGGTTATTTTCTAACTTTCCGGGAGTTAGAAATCCTTTGTTCTGTGAAAGGAGGGAAGGATCTAAGCAGAAACAGGAAGTTTGCAGGCAAGAATGTCAGGCTGATGGACCCTCCTTTTCTCAGTTAAGTTGGAGGGAAGTTCATCTTCTGGGGTGAGGAAGGCAGGGTTGAGTAAGAGGTTCCAGGACCCTTAAAGATGCGAATTATTCATTTACGGGAATGGCAGACAGAGCTAAGGATAAACAAAAGACATTAAAACCCAGCCCTTTTGCAAAATGTAGTAGAAATCAAAGAAAGTTAAATGCAGCTTATTGTCATTAACTATACGAAGTCCAGTTTTATGATTAGTTAAAATATAGAACAGAGAGAGTTTCTGAGGGAAAACATGATATAATTATACCAATACGATAACATTTCTGAATATGAAACTATAGGAAAAATGAAAATAAACTCAGGACAAGCAAATAAACTCACACATTCAAGTTCTGTTGTTTTTTAAAGGCACATTAAAAACACGAGACTGTAAAAAACAACAGGGTAATCAGGAATAATGTGGAGGTCAGGTAGCTCCCTGGGGGTCGGCCATGAAACAGTATCTGCCTCACTTAAGATGGTTCTCATCTGGAGTTTGTCCAAATGGTTACTAATGACTTCAAGACACTGGGCGGGGAAGTAACAAATGCAGAGAAAGGAAAGAGTGTCTGGGATAAATCTCTTCCCTCTTTTTGCAGTTCACTTAAGTACCAGACACTGCACAGTATCACTAATGTCACTCTCCCCCCCCACACACACAATCAGAATCATTAGAGAAAGTAGCCAAATCAACAATATATGAAGTTTGTCACAGCTTCAGTAAAGTCATAATAACCTAAACCTACCAAACAGAATCACATATTTAGAAGCCACAAATTAGCTTCGAAGTGTATGTATACTGGAAATGGTGGTTAAAAAAAAAAAAATCACAGAAGTATTACTGGTTACTAGTAAACCAACTTAGTTATGTAAATCACACAGATGTGGAATCCAGGAAATGCAAGCATATGTGGCAGAATACAGTAGGCTCTCTACAAAGGTCTCTTAAAAAACATAGCGGGCCTCATACAAAAAGCATCTAAGGCACCAAGAAAAAAGCTGATCAAGTATAAATCCTGGCAATTGGTATCGCCCTCAAGCAAATCTTCAGACTTCCAACAGAGGCCTTTCCGCCTACTACGACGCAAACATGTTGTAACAAAACCAGATCCAGGAAACACAGACGACTGGGTTACAGCTGGATCTTTCGCTTTCCCATTAAGCAAGACAATGTCGAAACTAGGCCGCATTTATCAAGGTCCGCTCCTAATTGTTTCGTTAGGGGAAAAAATTCCAGGGAGCACCGGTCGGAGGAAGGGAGGGACAGTCTTTCAGATCGCAGAAATACAAAATGGGCCAAAACCGGGTAATTTCCAGAACTTCCCACCAAATCCTAGCACACTCGTCCCTTCGTCCACAACGCCTCGCCTCTCCCAAGCCCGCTTTTCTCTCCAAATTCTTGCCAAAGAACAATCTTCCCATTCTTGCCCACCCTCGACTACGATTCCTGGACAAATCTCCTTCCTCAAAGTCCCTAGACTTCATCCAGACCTAGGGCGCCCTAAAAAGATGCGCCACTCCATGTTCCCCCCCCAACATCAAACCGGGCTCCCCCACTTCCCGTACACACGCACTACCCGCTCCGGCCCTTACCATGTACCAGGTCCCCAGGATGATCGTCCCGGTGCGGACATGGCAACAGCCGCAGCACCGGGTGCTGTAGAACCGGTCGCTGCGGCTCCGCTTGAAAGTCATGGACACCATTGGGAATCTCGCGGGCCTCTTTCTTGGCCTGGCCCTTCGCAAACGCTTTCCGCCTAGCGGTCGAACCCAGACAGCTCCGTCACGGTCTCCAAAACCAAACAAGTCTTCAAGCCCGCCCCCGGCCCGGGCTCTGCCAGCTCCTTCGCACCTGCGTACTCAACGCCGAGCTCTGCTCTCGCGCAACTTCGGCTTGCCCCTCCCTTCCCCCACACAGGCCAATGGAGAGTAGAAAGCTGGATGGACCCGGCCCCTGATTGGAAAATCTTGAAGATTGACAAGCCCTCAGGCCCAATCAGAAGTGCAACTCTCCTAAGCGCTGATCGGCCTCTGCCTATGATTTGAGGTCAAGGGCTGGCTGATCGGCCTAGGATGGTTTGGGATGAGGAGGGCCGGGAAGTTCAGCATCCTCGAGATGCGATCGGCAAAAAAAGAGGCATTTAATAGGAAAGGGAGAAACGAGGTGGAGTGGAAGGCAGAAAGCGGGCACGAGGGACTTTTCTGAGCGATGTCTTTGCCACGTACTGCTTCAGAGGCGTCACGGGCTGCTCATGTGACCTTTGTGCGCATCTCGATTATTGGGCAGGCCGGGGCGGTGCCTTGGGGAGGGGGAGGGGCTTATCCCCTCCCC